CTTGTGTCGATCATTAGGCATCTTCCACTTTGATCGCAAAGAGCGGGCATCAGTATTGATCATTGGGTATCGGCTAAACCGATCGTAAATCGCGCGCGCTTGTGTCGATCATTAGGCATCGGCCATTTTGATTGCAAGGAGCGCGCATCAGTGTTGATCATTGGGCATCAGCTATATAGATCGTAAAAGTAAAGCACGTGTGTTTGTGACGATCGCCAGGCATCAATTGTAAAGTACGTATGCCTGTGTCGATCATTCAGCATTGGCGAGGGTTACACTTCCGTTTTTAGCAAGCATATTGGCAACTTTCTTTCCTGGCGTACTGGCGTACATTCGAAAACAAACCTCCGGCGTACAAGCTGCACCTTCCTGACCATGGCCATTTCCCCCACCCACCTGCAGTCAAAGTCTCAAGCAAAATGTTTTATTCTAGTTAGAATAGATAGCCTACAACATGAGCTTTCCAATGGTACTAAAAACTTTGAAATTGGCTCATAGGAAACTGACAAATGATAGTTTTTCCAAAAAAAGTGACAGAAGTTGGTCCATTTTTGGGGTGAAATTGAAATAGGAAAAATTCATATCTTTTTCATTTTTTGACCTACCTACTTCACTCATACTCATATATTTTTCTAAATTATTTTTTCTTTTCAGTGGTGTAATTTTCATTATGATCAAAGGAAAAATTTTTTTTGTGCACATACCTACATAGGATGATAGGGTAGGATAAAAACTTACAAAAACTGACCATACATTAACTAGGCTAAAAACAAAAATTTCACAAATTGGTCATTCATTTATCAATTACTGCTCTAAGTTTTCACTACTCACCGTCGGAAAGGAGGGCAAGAGAAGATTGTGTTGCTGGACCAAATTTTGATTTTCCATTACATTGATCCTGTCACTGTCATGAGCGTCATCAGCAATGCAGGACTTGTACCTCTGCACGCCATGAATAGCCTCTAGAGCCATTTTTAGATTTCTCTTTTACTATCGCAACAAATATTCTTTATATCACCCGGTACTAAAAAGAGCTTGGCACCCAGCAATGCGCGAATTTAGAATGAACACCGCAACACGACAGCTGCTCAGTTGATGTCAGTTGGCAATGACATACAACATTATGTTTACGGATTGCATGGCTCGAGAGTGAGATGAGCAAAGTGAGTTACCATGTCATGACTCGACTCTCGAGAGCAATATATTAGTTTTTAAAGTGTTGTGTGATCAAATTCCTTTTAATTTCTTTTAACTTAACTACTAAATAGGCAGGATTATCAATTTCTTTCGATGTGAATACTAAAAATAATTCCAGAAATAAAGTTCATACGCAAGTTCTTATTAAAGGAGCTACTTTTTAGACGTTCTATAACTCTTTTTAAAATACCATTATTTATATATGTTTAAAAGCCTATTCATATTATTTGTGAAACAATTATACATCAGAGTAGGAATATAGTTGCAATAGCTTATTCATGTTAATTGAGGGAATAGCCAATGAAAAATAGCCAATAGAATCAATGATAAATGTGCTTCGCCACGAGGCCCCGTTGGGCAAAAGCCACCACCAATCATTGTTTTTCAGTATCAAGTGTTGTGCAGAAAAAACGCTTCGGAAGCGTGAACGTTTGAACTTTGCGAAAGGCGACTATGATAAACTCCGTGAAGCGGTTAATGCGGCGAATATTTCGGACTGTATTAAGGACATGAATGTGGCTGATTCATGGTCGTTTCTCAAAGACACGGTTATGTTGTAGCTACTTCAAACTATCGTCAGTCATGAAAAGATCCGGTCAAATGACACGAGTTTAGATCTATGAACAAGGCACGAAAAGGAAAAGAATCGGCGACAGGCCACATCAGGCCTACACTTCAGCGCCGACATCACTATGTTATGTTATGTTCTGTTTTCGTCATTTTGATTTACTTTAGCAGATAATAAAACCGTGACCCGAGTAAGGAATAGTATATTCAAGCCATTCATACATATAAACACCTTGATTAACACGTTCCCAAATATTTTTAAAGTTACAAAATTTAACCCCTGAACAATTTCCACACATTAAAACTTTCACACTTATTGAAGTGAAATTTGTAGAGCTTTTTAACAGCATTACAATTTTCATAAAGAACATGATGTTTACAACGCTTAAGATTAACATTATTGCGTGTGCTAGCATTGACTGGTGAGGTAGCTCTGGTTTGTGCTACACTATCTATTGAACGCGTAACTAATATAGTGACGTTGCAGACAACTTCCCGACATAAGAATGTCTTAGATACCAAATGCGTATAAAAAGAGGAATTTGGAACATGAATGGATATTATGTTTTTAAGACACGTTAAGAAAGGCATAATCGAACATGTATAATATTTACAACAAAAATGTCCAAGAAACTTCCTATCTTCTATAGGGGAAGAATTATTTATCAATAAATATGGGATTTGTAACTGATAACACAATAATTTGCCATAGAAATAAAATTAGACAATAATTGATGCACAAATCACGATAATAAAACGACAGTGTCGGTAGGTAAAATGTTGCGAGAAAAAAATGGTATAACATATTGTATAACATATAATGAAAATGCTACCAATAAAATGGACAATAAGTTTTCCAATCACACAGCATTACAGAGGAGCAGCCTTGTCAACAAAAACCTAATCAATTAAATTATTGCAATGAATAGTTTTCAGCATCTCTTTAAAACCAGATTGGAATCAACAATTGTAAACGTTTCGCATTAAGTCTTGCATCTTTAAAGGTAAAATCAAGGGAAATATTTTTATACTAAAAAGCATCATGTTACTAACTCTGTTATAAAGATCTTACTTTCTTGTCGACAACTTCTCACAAAATCGATATGCATCGTATTGTCCGACGAAAATGCAAGTCATTCAGAAAAATAAACTCGCCATATTGCACAAAATAGTGATATAGTGTCTTACCTCCGGAAAAAACTGAGTCAGAATAACTCATACGAGGGCAAAACGCGCATCACTTTTTGGACTAAGTCTCGCTCATTCCTCTGAGTGCAAGGACACGTGTAAGCTCTCATTTCCGGAACAGAAAAAGAAGATTAAAAACGTCAATTCGGTTTGCGTAAACTTCTACATCATTAATATATTTAATCTTATTTAAAAAGTCTGTTTGTAAATCCATGACTAAAATGACTTTATAAAGCTATCAATATACAAAAATTTAAAGAAGTAGTTGCATAGCTTCTAATTCCGGCATATGGCGTTTCGGAGGTTGCACGCCAAGTTGGATATTGTCGTGAACGAGTCGACCATTGCCTGCACCGCCGACACTGAAGGGAATTGTATAGCTGCCGTTTTCGCGGCTGCCACAGTGTTCTTCATAGCATCACATAATGCGTTGGAACAATTCAACACGCACGACCTCACTTCGCTGTTGACGACATTCCGGTGAACTGTGTCGCCAATGAAAACCAATTTGTGAGCACTTAGAATAACAAACTTGGAGTGAGCTATGAACACTTTAGGAGGTTGATTTTCTTCGATTGTTAGAAAGAAAGCATCAATGGCAGTGTTGAGGTGCTGAATGTGTTCTTCAGCCTGATTACTATAAAAAGATAACACTTGACGATCGTTCGCATCCAGTCTACAAGCCTTGCCGGGGGCAGCCTTAAGATTGATATTTTGAGAGGTCACCGTCGACAAGGGTGACCCCGACAAAGCTTTTTGATGGTCATTGTCAACCACCGAGAGTGATTGTTTAACTAAATTATCGTATGATTTTCTCAAATTGACTGGCAATGATTCTTTAATATGTTGGTGCTCTCGCTCGGCTGTTTCTCTGGACTCCAGCTTCACGTAGTCGTAGTCCTCTAAGATGGCGCTCTCATTGGCATATAAATTTTCATCTTGAGCATTGCCAGCCACATCTCGAGTGGGTTTCTCATGCATGGAGTTTTTAGTGAAATTTTTCTGCTTGACTTGTTCACCCGAAGGTGTTCTTTTGAAAATTTGAGGAGCGTTTGTGTGTATGAGCTGAGCTAGATGCCTCACGTCGTCTGCTAACGGCTTAGCGATGCTAGTGAGTTGCTGTACCACCTCTAGGGCTTGTTCCCGGTCATGTTGCGCGCAATCCCAAGTGTTCTTTATAATGTCGTATGTTGACGATAAGCGTTCTATTTGTTCTTGAAGAGATTTGGCTAATGGATGAACACCACTTTTGTAAGCATTGACAGATGAACCCTCGGAAAATGTTATAAATTCACGAAGTGTGTCTTTTAATCTTTCAATTATTATTTTGGATTCGGCAAAGCGATCATCTGACACCAGCTTTTTCGTTGGACTTAATACGACATTGAAATTGGTTAACTTTTCCAGCGATGCATGAAGATCTTGCTGCACTTTCGCTAGCATGTCAACAGCAGAATCATACTCTAGAGGAAGACCAGCACCAACAAAAGCGTTATCGCACTTCCCTTCTGCAGGGGCAGCGACTCTTGCCTGCACAGGGTCATGCGGTCGCGCATCTCTGCTCACTTGAGGCGGAACATCATAAACGCCCTCGGTTCTCGCCACGTTATTGCCAACCTGAGCGTTCTCGCGGGAGCTATTTGCGTATTCCCTAGGTGGCAGGCGTGGCTTCAGAACAGTTCCAACTTTCCTGGGCTCTGGAGGAACATCGTACACGTCTTGTACATCGAGGCTCGACCGGTTGGAAGACCCGCCGATGGAGGACAAATAAGGCGACTCTGTGGCAGGCGCAGAAGACGCTGATGACGAAGTCGAGTCACAAGACATGATGGAAACGCCGCTAGAGCGATCGCTGGCAGTTGGCACGTCCAGATTCTGACTTGCGCACCAGGGTTTTGGCACGTCGTATTGGCCGGCATCAGCTTCAGCCAATTTCACAGGCGCTGCAGAAGATGTCATGTTGGGCTGCGGTCCCCGGATCCCTTTAATGAGACTCCTTGTAGGAACTGCGCCAAGCTGGGCCTCCAGCCCCACGCCGGATGACATCTGTGGTTTAGGGGAGTCGTAGAGCGTGGATGTCGCAGCTCGAGGCACGTCGTAATGAAGGGTGACGTGCTGGTCGTGCGGTACGTCGTGCAGCTCATACGAACCTCGCGGCAAGTGACGAGGAGCCTCGTATCTCAGGCTGCTGCTGCGGGACAAGCGCGGACCTTCGTTGCCTAGGAAACACATTCCCGATTATCGAATACGGAAAAATTGCTTTAATGCACATTAATTCATTAACTTTCATGTATCATATAAAATATCCCAGTGTGAATTATCTCGAAGAAAGTCTGGCATATTTTTTTCAGTAAATATTGCATGTGAATGAAATTCTCACCCCCAGCAGGAGGTCCTCGAGGCACATCGTAATCCAGGGTGGGGTGGTGCGTGAGGGGAAGAGGGAGAGGGGAGGCCCCGGAGAGTCGTCGAGGCGTGTCGTATGTGTAGGTGTCACCGATGCGCTTCGGAGTAACTACCTGCAATAGTTTGTTATTTAGAGTTAATTGACGTAAAAACGATGCACCTCAAAGTAATCGAATTCAATTCGTGTAGCAAAAATAAATTTCTGTTTGAAATGTTTGATCCAGGAATAGAGAATAAGTTTTGTAGAAAATTTCTTCTTAGTTTTTTCAATGATTCGCACAAAAATAAATCGTGATGTTTCGTGCCGTAAGATGAACATTTGAAACAACCCGGAGATTAAAACACGTGAAGACAACTACATTATACATTGATTTACAATATTGGTGGTTTGATTTAAAATTTCAATGTTTGTAAGACAGCAATAATTTGTTACTAGACAACAAAACAAACATGTGTGGTGACCTTGTTGCCCGAGCTCCGCACGACACTGGCCGCGGCGCCATGCCCCACGGGGGCGACATGGGGTCTGGTGAGTGTGGGCACTCCGGTACCGACATCATAGCATCCCGGTACGATACGCAGCCTGTTGCCCGGACAGATGCCCTGGAAATGAAACTTAACTGAAACCAACCTGAACCAGTTTCTTAATAATTACTTGAAATGCAATACTTGAACACTGGGATGAACTTCTTGCAAACCGTCAAATTGTTCAAGAGATCAGGCTACAGTTAGATGATAACATCTATCATTATTTCTACCAAACTCGTATCAAAATATTGAAACGCTAATGCAGTCTAAATTATGGAGGAGTTAATATATAGAGATAAATACCTATATCCGGATTCCTTTTAAAAATTTAAAAAGAATCACCTATTATGACAGGAATCACGCATATGTGCAAATAGTTTAATGCTTTTCATAGTAAAAAATATAACATCGCCCAAAGCAGTCCAAATTTTGAGAAATAATACTTGGACGATCAATAGTAGGTTGATCACCAATGTTGATGAGTCGAGCGGAATCTTATCTTATCCTGCGACTTATCTTATCTTCCCAACACAATTTCCGGCGTGTCACTCACCTGGCGGCCACGGAGAGAACACAGCCACCACCCCTCAAGCCCTGCCGTGTTCTGCTCCAGCACCGTCAGGAGGTCGTCCTTTCGGAACTCGAGCTCGTCAGGGGACTCGGCGACGTTGTTGTACAGCGCTCTGGCCACGCAGTTCTGCAGATAAAACAATGAGTGTGAAGACGGAAAATGCGTCCAGCCAAAAAGTCTGATGTACATGACCTCGACAAAGTCGGTTTTGAAAATATTCGTGCATATACTGATCCACAAATTTTACGAGTATGTTGTCGAAAAAATAAGTTAGGGTGACTAAAAAAATGATGTTCTAAAGCAGTTTATGAGCATCGCAGCAGACTTTCTAACAAAAAAAAATGTTGCACGGAACACACGGAGACGTGAAGTGTACACGCCGTAAACACACAGGGCTACGAGTAAACAATTCCGCGGCAGCGCCTGAGACCGGCGGCCAGATGTAAACAATCCAGCTTCAGCGCGAGATCGATGACGGGCGCTCAGCAGGGGGCAAAAAACGGGATGCTCGCAAACATGAGTAACTCATTGAAAAGCCACGAGAGATATACGAACGCATCGAAGGTCCATGGTGGGCCATTTACGAAGCGAAAAAGTCAAAAACGTTTGGCATAGATCACAATATGGTTCAGAATAAATGACGAGGTAGACTCTGTATGTACTCTATTTGTCACCGCAACTGTTAACCACCCAAAAGAGGAAGAGAAAAAATTCATCAAATTTTGAGTGTCAGATGAATCATATAATACTCGATTGGTAAATACTTACAACCTCATTTTTCATTTATTTCGCTCTAAACAGTAGAAACATCGAAATCGTCGTTAAATCTGTAAATTTTCTTTTCCCATTAAAATGTAGTACTACCAACACCTTCTACCCAATCCCCACAAAACTTATAATGAGAAAAAAAAATTGAGAAATGAATCAATGCATTCCACTGCGAAAATTTCTCGTGCACGGTAAATCAAACCCAGACCATCCACCGAACAATTAATTAATATAAAAAACATAACTCAGTACTCACCGCAGTGAGTGACAGAGAGCGCTTTTTTTTGTCGACGAAAACGTGGAGTCACGGACGGATGGACAGACAGACGGACATGGCGATTACAATAGTGCATTTTTCCCATAAATGAGAAAATGCGCTAAAAAGACAGACCTTTTTTTCGGCTACCACCAGGACGAAGAACAATGCTAACGGTAAGTTAGGTAAGAGTAGGTTCGAGAGAAACCAATGTAGTCACTGGAGGTGGTTTGCAGCCAGACTTCGGCGTCTGCAGGACCAAAAATGGTCACTTCGTGCTGTCCATTAACAGGAGTCCATCCTAATAAGCGGAGATATGCAATTACTGTAGCCGGTCTCCGGCTCCGGCAAATGACCTGGGAGGACATAGACGACGCCTTCCTCGTGGCAAAACGCAGAAGCAGGTTTATACTTGAAATACCGTGATGCATGAACAGAATTTGAACCTTTTTGTTTCTATGCATCATAAATATTGTTAATAGAAATATGGCCCGTTCTCGGGTTTCACGGGCATGTCTGAAGTCACTCTGAACATAATGCTTAGATGTTGGTTATAGAGAACCAAAGTACTCAAATGCCAGTGACATGCCTGACGCGAGTTTAGAGTCAATATTAAGCAAACAAATTTTAACGCATTTAGTTCAATAATCCATCACTAGGTTGTTCCTAGATTCGTACCAATGCCTGTAAAAGAAGGGGGGGAGGGAGCAAGAGTTGTTAAACTAAGCTCACCTATCTCGACTCTGAAAAGTTATCCAACGAAATGTTTGAGTCAAGCAATGCAAACAAACTTAGGCAAAGCACTTCAAACCTTGAGAATACATCAACAAGGAAGTTTCGTATAACTCGGCGGTGCGCTCAGAATCCGGTCTGCAAGCCGAGGTATTGAAGGGTAGGAAATTACTAGAATAGGAAGTTTTACTAGATTATTTGAACAGAAACGGCGCTGGAAGGTAAAGATTGTCTTACTACATTCATAAAGTAAGATTCTTCTTCTTGGTTGTTGCAATTTTGTACGAAGAAATATTCAAATTAATAATTGAAACTTTTACACTAGTGTTTTTCAAAATTTTAGAAAGCAACGGAAATTTATCAAACATAGGCAGTGTTATTTAAACGAATAATGAACGAATACATCATTTGACACACTAGCGGTGCATGAAGATAACTGTCAGGGGTCTATTGTGAAAATCCGTGTGCGAAAAACGGTGCGCGAAAATCCGTGTAGAATTTCTCTCTAGTCAGATGTCCAAGCGTCATAAGTCCGAGAAAATCTTCAGTATTTTTTACGTAAATCCCCAAAAATAAAGGAGGACTTAGGAGAGATTTTCTGCGTTCTCTGTCACCAAAAGCAGCTGCAGACATCGCCGTCTGCGCGTGCTCATGTGTTTCCTATTAATATTTCAGGTTCGAAGCTTGATCGACCATGACAGTTATGAATAGTCATGGACGAGGGAAGCATTCCGTTGAATGAACAGAAAGGGGGCCATAGAATATAACCATGAAGAAAGGTGGCATAAAAACACCATTACAAATAATAAAGTGATAACAATTCTAAAAAAATAAACTCACGTCTGCTCACGACGTGATCTTCGAACATTCCCGAGTCTAGCTATTCTAATGTAAATAATAGAAGCCAGTACAGCACATCAATTAAAGCTGTAAAATCAACTCGACATTTTCTCACACGAAATGGCACCAAAAGAGCAAAAAAATGATCAATAGTAGAAACGCTAAAAGATCACTATCAACGCGAAATGTATTAGAATAAAAAAAACCGTCCGCGCTGTGATTCTAATGAACATTTTTCTCCAGAGCTGATCATGAAGTTAGACTCACGTGTTCATTACGTTTCAGCAGGCAACTAGCTATTTTACTGAGTCAGGGCATTTTATAGCCTTGCACTGAGTTAGGGCATCAGTTTCTTGATGAATCGACAACTTGAAGCAAGCATCGAGCGTGAGAGCACAGCAGACGAGTATGCTGATCGAGAGGTGCTGCGTGAGAAGCGGTAACACCTGAGCCGTACTCCCAAGGACTTTAAATACAACCAAAGAAGTTCAAGTGCAGCCTAGCTCTGCAGCACAGAAACCCACCAAACACTAAAACATAAACCTTTGAAAGGAATACGTCATCATAATACTTATTATATATGAATATAAAAAAACACCACTGCTAGTCGGGACATCTTAGTAAATCGATTTCTCCTCGCAGAAAATAGAAAAAGAATTTAAGATTAAATTTTCTTACCGTACGTATAACAGGAATTCATTTCACAATTTATATACCAAACACATATTCTGAGATTATTCGAATATTTGATCGCGTACATTTATAATTATATAAGGCATGATAATTGCATATTCAACAATTGACGCTAGAGAACAAGAGTCGTTGAGCGACAGCTAGAACCTTATCGCCTAAACAACAACTATTCCCTCTTAAATACAAGGCAATCTTTTTATAAATGGTAAATTATTTTCAGCAGTAAGATGTTGTAGTGATAGACGGAATTCAGAAGAGTTTAAGACATCGCTTATCTCTTAGAGCCCGTACAGAAGTCAAGTGTTATCAGCACGACAGAAGTGAAAGCGAGACGGCGGACTTTAAGTCTGCGAAAAAAAAGAATGGAGCGCTTATAAAACATGCGCAGAAAATATTGAAAAGTATCGTGTTGATTGATGATTATTGTAAAGACCAGAGTGCCAGTTTATTTTACGACGCAATTGCTTGAGCTCAGTCCGATTCGCAGTAAATAACTCTGATAGCTTTTGCGAATGAGAGCCTTTGATCAGTTTTAATAACATTACTCATGTGCTCATGTGAGTCTTTTTCTTCGAACAGCTTGACGAAATTACAAATTTATTATATACTTACATTAGAATTTTAGAAGAGAAATGACTTTCAGCGCAATGTATATATGAATGCATAACACTTCATTTTTTCGATAATTTATCAACACATAACATATGCGTTTTATGAATATTATTTTAAAAATATCGTGTATAAAATTAGCACGATTAACTATCGTACACCATAAAGTAACAATGAGCCTCAGTTAAACACAGTAACACATTTGGGATGCACTGAATAACCATGCATCATCGTACAGAAAAAAATAATTTGTTACCGAATAACTTCGGCCTGAAACCTTGCACCAATTCATAGAACCTCGAGTTTACAGATATTATCAAAGGTTGACGGGATATACTCGACACAGTTTTACAAACAGGTAGATTGAAGTTGTCACCCTTTATCTCAACTGTTAAGCTATGCATGGATGAGAGACAGCATGTAGGCAGATTAAGTTTTCTTCTAATTAGTTATCATTTTTATCAAATTTTTACGTCAGACGATATACTTTACTTTATCCGTAAACACATTGTGTCGTGACTTATGCAGATCAAAACACTATGAAATAAACTGATTCTTGAAATATGCCGAGCTAGGGCTTGTTTGTTTCTTGCATGAAGAATTATGATGAGACAATATATATGCACAAGACTGTGGCCTTGTCTTATCCGAGATATGTTGGTTATTCCATTAATATTTACAGACCATAAACATCATAACCGTTATCAGTTAGAAAAGTGCAAGTAATGCCGGAAAGGTGAAAGAATTAAACTTGCAAATGGGATGCATAAAAGCGTTTCGACTCCCATCGTAAGGTCTCAAAAAAGAGAAATGTTGAACGAGCAACACAAACAAGAAAAGTAACTTGATATCCTATGGCTGAATCCCTTGAAATTTCCGCGATGTGCGACCATCTTTTTCACATGTGTAAGGATGAGTCGTGTACAAAAATTAACAGAGGATTTTGTTTGATTTCGACCCATACGCTTAAATAAATATAAATAAAGAATTTCTCCGAAATATAAACTACAAAATGTATAAATATTAAAGACACAACGGTTTTTAAAGGCATGTGCGCCATGGGTTACAGTTCCGGAAGCCAAACTGCTCGCCGACAATGGCAGCATCACACGGGTCACTCCGCCGCTCACTCCACCCCACCTCGTGTAGCGTAACCTTGCTCGCCACATGGCGCCATAAAGTGACCATAATGTCTTTCTTTACGTCAACCCACGCATATTTTATGTCA